AAAATTGTTTCCATTAGAGCATAACTCAATGTTTATTTTTCATTCGTGCAGACAAAGTACAACCAGCCGAGCTTCAGAAAACTGAAAGCACCACAGATGGTAAGCGTAACCGTGAAAAACGGATATGATTCACATTTTTAATGTCGTAACTAATTTTTCCATCTTAGAACTAAATGGAGGGGATAGCTGGAGGATTTTGGTTGCGTCACGATAAAGGTTACCTAATTTATTCCCCCTCCACCCTGATTTGTTGTTAATTAGCCATTCAATTTTCTGTGGTCCCCCTTTATACCATGATGGCGACAACTGTTGTACCTCAAAGTCATGTAATCCGCATCCGTAGTCCTCCACCCTTCCAGGCGATATATAATAACTGGTCCCTTAGGTGTGCCATTTGTTAAGCAGGTACACACCACTTAATGCGTTACGTGCTCACTAAGTATGAGAAAGTCTCGTAATAATCTTGACTGATGGCAGCTGCAAATAAGGATGACCATATTTTCGTTGAATGCGCCTTGTATTTGTGGATCTCTTACTTTCACGATTTTTCCACCTTGCCAAGCAGATAAAACACCATAGGCGATACTAGTAATGTATTAAGAAGCCTTCTTTTTAGTATTCTTCTAACTAAACAGGAGCTTAGCTTTGGCATGAGGGAGTGACTTAAGTTTCAAACGGAATTATCATAACCATTTATTTCCCTGTAATAGCACACAACGCCTGCTTCAAAGAATTTTAGAGGGATTCGTTGAGGGTATAGCACTCATGTCGCAGTTAGTAAGAACGGGTTCAATCCCAGTAAAAACCAGATTTTTTACCTTTTTTTTGTTACAATGACTTTAATTACTAATAACCTGTGGAAATACATATACATTCTTCTTTTGTAGTCTTATCATCCTTAAATCAGTCAAACTAGCATTTAATTCACTTTTTCTATTTGTGGTCAGGTTCAACTCGTGGCTTCGTAGCTCAGTATGTAGTATACAGTAGCATTGTGCGAAACAGAATTCAGTATTAGGAAGGCCCCATCGAAGCTTCAAGTATTCAGACCTCTTTATTATTTTGTAGATTTAACTGTTAGCCCAACATCCGTCAGTTCTGAAAGTGAAGCAGTTGTACAGACGTCAAGAGGTTGGACTGATATAATTCGGTACCCGGCAGCTGTAATCGCAGTGTCAGTGGGCATGGTCGTTCTGTTGATCATAGCTTTCGGTGTCTGTTATTGGCACGTAAGGAAATCTCGAGCAAGCTCGTCCACAACGATGCAAAGGCGACACAACATCGCATCACTTCGAACGACGTACGTAGCTCAGCCGAATGAGTACGTAATAGTGCCTGACCTAAAGAGACTTTACGTAGATTGAGAAAAAAAGGTTCTTCCAGCTCTCTGTCCTCTGAAATTTTCTTTACATCATGATCNCGCAGTTGATCGCCATGCGATATTTCTGATTTTTTTTTAAATCTATTTTGATTTTCCTGAAAAAGATGATGCTACACAGCTTTAAATAAGGTAAGGAATAAAAAGTGAATAAACAAATAACACTACAACCTAGTACCTAAATGTGTTTGGCGATTTCGCATGGACCTCAAGGATATTAAACAAAACTCGACATAGAAGTGAATCGAATCATCTTTAAATCACGGTTAGATTATGTTCTGTAATTAAGCTCCAATAGAGTTGAGTTAAGTGAACTGTGGTTTAATTTTTCAAGAACTGAATGCTTGGTTCTAGTTTGTTTTTCTCTGAAAGGCTTTTATTTCACTTATTCTTTTGGTTTCATTTATTTAGCACTTGATCAAATTCTAATGGTAGAATATTGTTTTACACTATGCAGGTAGAATAAAAACCCACTGATAAGTGTTACTGCTATGCGGACTGAAACTTCTTCTCCGTGTTAGATTCTTTTCTTTCTATCGCAACAACTACTTCCAAAACAAGTACCTCTAGTATTGGTAGGTCCGGAGTGTTCTTGCAGGTCTACAGACTAGATAAAATAATGAATTTGGTGTGAATTTTATGTCTGTTAATTGGGCGCCCCTTTGGAACGTATGGGCCAGTCACAAATCATTGTCAAAGCTCTGGTGCGCATGCTTGCATGTAAGTTTCTTTTTTTGCGCGTCAGCTCCAGAGATTCATTTAAAACCGCATGAAAACATTGTGTAACATTTTTCGCACTGTTTTTCAAATTATTTTCGCGTGCCTCTTTACGAGCACGTGAAATTTGTGTACCACATGTGAAAACAGTTTAGAGATTTTTTTCCTGCTGAGAACACGCAGATATGCGTCACTTCCGCCTCGAGCGTATTGATGTCTATTGTTAGTGATGAATAACATGCACAATACACGACTCTCCGGTCGATGAATATTACGTAAGAAGCTTTTCTTTGTGTGAGAAAATAAATTTGTCATCTTGTTTTCGTGACTCTGGCGCACCCGGTTCTCAGGATCAAAAGGAAGTTGTGTCACAGCCTTGAGAGGTATTTTGTGACCCTTATGTTTAATTAGTACTTTAAGCTTGACAAATATCAGTTATCCTGCGTTTTCTTCTGGTGCTTTGGCTTTCTCAGCATCGGAAACTTGTTTTACTGCGCCCATATTAACTATGCCGCGCCGATGTTTTGGTTTCAGTTGACACGCTGCTGTCCCTGCGGGGTAATTCAGTTGCATGTCAAACTTGACTGACGCTGTTATCGGCTTGTTACTGTTTTGTTATGTTTTTCTCTTAGTTAAGTGTTTAACCTTTGTAGACGGAGGTTATTAAAATTATGCTTGATTGTATGTCACATTAATAGAATAAAGATTTAATTTAACCGCAGAGTACGAGAGCACGAGAGCCGAAATGCTGTAAGTCAGTAAAGAGAACATTCTCCTTATGTTTAGAGAAACAGGTCACAGATGTGCATTTTAAACTCTATCTTTTGAAATTCAATATTGGTCTACTGAAAGAAGATACGAATATCAAGTATTTTGCTTGCACTAAAATAGTCTTTCGTACAAAATACCGAGGCTTTAAAGACAGATCAGCTCATTACGTCACAAGTTAGGAATTAATCATATTTGCGTACCATATATGCGGGCTAATTGCTTATTTTTATCTTATTATCAGTATTTCCTTCGAGCTCTGACGCCAGCACCCACTTTGACATTGAAACTGCTAGGTTTTAGTAATATATCGTTAATATTGTAAATAAGAGGGAGTTGTTGGGACGTTGTTCACGACTGACTGTCTGCCAAGTTTTGACTTTGATGTTAACTTGCATGTTTTGACCATATCCGCATAGTATAAACATGTGCATAATCTAACAATTGACCTTGAAGTACTGACATTATGTTTGTCCTTAAGGCCTTGGTCAAAGCCAAAGTCTGAATCCAACGGAAGTTGTCGGTTCCGCTGGCTGCTGTAGCATCCGGCGCCAAGTCCTTTTGCTTCTCCATTAACATATGGTAAGCAAATAGAATTTTCTCTCTTTGTAATCTTGCCCCAAATTCTGCTCTGTCAATAGGTTGGTTTTCTAAAATGTTCGACGGTAAATGATCTCTTTTTCCTCAGCAGTGTTGCCGGGCTCAAGACGAGGGTACAACTGAAGCCGTTCGCCGGAGTGGAATCAGCCAAAGGAGGTTATCATTTCATCGCCATGTTGCTCACTTCACTTCTGTTTAAAACGATTCTTGTTGTTTTCCTGGGCTTTCTGGATAATCATCACACGGATGCATGTTCAGGTTGTGGGAATCCGTGGTAAACCTTTTCTACTGTCAGGAATAAGTTTACGTTGTTACGTATTGTTATGCGAGCCTCATCCGCATCTCTCCTGATTTTGAACTCCATCTATAAACCAAAGTTATTTCACTGTACATGAACATGTAAATAAACCTAGGTGAAACAAATACTTAAGAGTTCGATTGATTTTGTATTGTTGGACGTTGATAATCTTAAACCACACAAGTCTATCTTGGCCTCTTAGGTAGCCCGTCTAGAAAAAATTCACCTAACTTGCTTGGCAACAGAGCCATTATATCTTAAAAATATAAAATGAGTGCCCAAAATTTCATCTCTGCCGCATTTGTAGGAATTCAAGCTATAAATTCTAATTAAAAATCTGAAGACGCGCCATGTGGGGTCACTTTAACTCTTCCTATTCAAGCTGCACCGACGAAACTGGCTACATTGTAGACATTTCCCAGACATGATGAAA